AAAAAAAAAAGGAGTGACTAACAGTGACAGATCCATAAAATTTATTAGGTAGAGATAATAAAATATTTTATATCATTTTTACTAAAAAATATATTAATTTTTTGGAAAAATATATTTTTATAATAAAAATTTTAAATATATTTTTTATATATAAATTATAATTATCTTATAAATAAAGTGATAATTTTTTATTTTCTCTTATTGTCTGAGATTATATTTAAGTGTCACATTATAATTTTTTATGACTTATTTAATATTAGAGGAATAAAATAGTAAAAATCAATAGGATAAAAATAATAAAATTATCAATTTTTTTCTTTTAGTGTCTTCTAAATATCTACACTCATTTAAAACAAAAATGTTTTATGAGTGCAATGTATTTTTTTTTATAGGAGTAAATTTCTTTATTTAAATATATTTAATTAAGTTTAAAAAAACTGTGAAATAATTACTCTCATTCATCTTAATGTAGATGCTCTCCTACCAACACACAATATACATATACATGATCAAAAGGTTAAAAAATAAAATAAAAATTGAAAAACAACCTACATTAATAAACTAAATTATGACATCTTTAATGAATAAAGAAGTAATAAATCTTTTAGTAAAAAAAATACAATATATATTATAATAATAATAATAATAAATGAGGAAGGATCTACTTATTCTAAGAGTAAATTTTGATAAACTTATTTCACTTAATAATTCATATTTTACATCAACTATTCAACCGTTCAATTAAAAATCTTTAATGTATAAATCAAATTTATAAAAATTTAAAAAATTAAAATTTATTTGATACTCAATTTGATTAATTTAAATTAATAGATAATAAAAAAAAATTTATATGTTATTTTAAATCTATTTAATGAAGTATCATATGGTTCTCAATTTTTTTAAAATTCTCAAATTTAATATGTACATTAAAATTTTTTAATTTAACAGTTGAATTTTTAAAAATTTGATACAAAATATTAGTTATTTAATAGAATAAATCTATCAAGACTTACTCTTGGAGTAAGTAAATATTTTCTTCAAAAAAAAAGATAATTTTATCATAAAGTAAAAATAATTAAACAATAAAATAAAATATTAATATATTTTATTATATTAAATATAATAAGGTAATTAAAATATAATTAATAATATATATTTTATAAAATAATTAGTATTATATATATATATATATATATAAGAATGAAAAAAAATTTAGTGAGGGCAACTGCCCCCACAAGCAACAACGTAAATCCGTCCATGCACTCAAGGACAGGGTATATGTTATACGTATTTTAATTTTAATTAGATTAAATTATATTTTTGATTTTTTATCTTATTTGTTAGATGCATTTTAGCCTTTTATCTTTTAAAATGTTCATCTTATTAAATTCACTTATATGAAAATTGTTGAACACAACTAATTAAAATTTAAATAAAAGAAATATTAAAGATATGATGAAAATTACATAAAATTAAGTCCAAAAGGCAATTGTAATTTCAAAAACTATAATTTTATATTATTTTCTAGTTACTTATTAGACATATTTTTTTATATAATTTTTATTATATTATAACTCTTATGAATTTAAATGTCAATTAAATTTTATAATTTTTATATAGTTGAATCTATTATTAAAAGTTTCATGTTTAAATCAGTCAAAAATTGATTCAAAATTGAATTACAAGTTTAAAAAATTATTGTTGTTTTAGAAAAGATCAAATTAATATAAATATAAAAGATAAATGACCAAAATAAATATTTTCTTAGATAAATTGAGTACTAAAATGAATCTAATAATAAGATAAAGTACCAAAAATATAATTTAACCTTTTAATTACTTTATATTTCTTTTTTGTTAATTAACTAAGTTTAATAATTTTCATTCCAAGGTTTTATTTGTCTCAAATGCAAGTTATCCTCTTTTTCCCTCCTGTCTGAAGCGTCCAAGTTAGATCGAAACACGTGGCACATCCCATCCCATGCAAGAGTCACGGAATATTCAGTAATCAACATTCATAATTAAGCTTCCACGCCATGAGAACTCTTGCTTCCTTGACAAAAATTACTTTAAAATGTCGTCATTAAAGGAAAAGTGAAGTCAGAACACTAGTACTATAATTAAGGACATAAACAAATTATAGCCCCACAAGCATCTAGAGACAAAGGGTTTTCAATTCATAAAGATAATATATAGTACTTACTGCATTTTCTTTAACTGGCAATGGAAAAAAAAGAAAGAACTACCATATCTTTCTCGATGTTACAGCATAAATCCTAAAACTTCCATGACGTGTCGCACACAAAGACACAAATATATATAATATATAAACCAAAAGGTAACGCACCAAGGCAGTCGAATTGGACTCTGAAGCTTCTCATTCACACACACTCTCTTGGTTAAGTCAATAGCAACCTGAATAAGACCACCCTGAGATATATAGCTAGAATAAAGAAACACTACACAGGAAAATACGAGGAACCCTCCCATCAAAAGGCTTTATGTATAGATAATATAATAATATCATATCATATAAAATAAAATATACGTAGGGAAA